GTCTCGGGTCCCTGTCAGGGAGCCCGGCGGCGCGGGTGGCTCCCGCCCACCTGCGGTCGGAAGTGACGCTGCGGTGCGCGGTCGCCGGGCCGCGGACCCCCGAACTCTGACGGGTCCCGGGCCGGCCGGGGCCAGCGACCGAGCATCAGCTTCTGGGCTGCGTGTGGGGCCCGCGCAGGCTCAGCGAGGCCCACCGTGGACTGCGACTTGAGGGGGAGTCGGGCTGAGTGCGGGTCAGGCGCTGCGGGCGCTGGTCGAGTCGGCGCCCCGAAGGCGGGCTGNTGAAAATGCTGTAGCGAGACCTCCCGCGTAGCGGCCGCGGCGCCGCCGGCACCCTGCCGCGCCGGCCTGCTCGCCGTGCGTCTCCCGCCTCTGCTTGCTGCCCTGTTTCCTGCAGTCCATTAGCGGTGCAGCGGCCCACGAGCATCTTCTGGGCCACGCTGTCGTCACAGTGTTTACAACTCTGCAAAGTCGCACCGCTGCACTTGGAGTGAAATCCAAGCGCGCTGTAACCCGCCGCGTGTGATCGCGGCCTCGCCGCCCTCCTCGCTCACCCGGTCCCTCAGCTGCGTGTGCGTGTGCGCGTGCGCGCGTGTATGTGCGCGCGTGCGCGCCCGCGCAGCCGAACCTCCAAACCAGAGCCCGCGTCGCCCCGCGGAAGCCCCGGGCTCTAGGGGAGGAAGGGAGGGCGCTGTTCTCCAGGCGAGTTCAGCCTCGCGCTGCATTTGCACAGTGAATGTAAAGGAAGCTCTCTCAGTGCTCACTTCTTCCATTTTCCCGAATGCACCAGCTCTTCTTACCAGCCTTAGAAATTACACAGGCTGTTTCTTTGCAAAAACGTTCAGTCCACTTTTGGCCCGATTAACTCCTGTTCATTCTTAGCTACTGGCTTAAATATCACTGTATCGGAGGGGCCTCCCTGACCTCATACCTACCTCCACAGTGTCAGTTAGGTTCCTGTGTTATTTTATCATAAAGAATTTTGTACTTTCCTCTTACAGCAGTTACCATAATGACATTTGTGTGTGTATGCTGTCTATTACATATACATATATGTATATATACTATACAAATATGTATATTATATATGTATGTGTAATTCTTAAAATATGAGTCTTCCCCTAGAAACTAAGCTATGGGGACAGAAACTACTTAACCTAGCACATTGCCTGGTATAATTGACTCTCAGTAAATATTTGTTGAATGGATGATTGATTTCACTTCTGAATCTCTTTACCTTCTAATGAGAATCTTCTGGTTTTCAGCTCTTATTCCATAAAACATGTTCTTTGGTGCACAGACTCTCTCAAAGTGGCTTCTTGATGTCTTCCTTTCATTCTTCCATTCTCCCTCCCTCCGTCTCCCTGCTTTCTTTGCCCTCTGCCCTCCCTCCTCTAGTCCCTTCTGGCTTGTTTTTTTGTTTGTTTTGTTTTTAATCTACTTAGCTTTTGGACCTCAAGGTAAGTAACTTTAGCCATTCTCCTTAGCATCTTTACCCCCACTCCCATTTGTCCTTCTGCTATTTCTGCTCTGAAAACCCCCAACAGTGACATTTCCCCTGGGATTAATTGCAGAAGAAAGAAATTTTACAGCCTTGGGGACTGCTGACAATCTTAAGGTTAGGGGTGTCCAATTCAGGTAGGCTCTCTACACCTGTCACCAATGCGTGCTCTTGATCAGCTTTTCTCTTCTATAGAACATTTATTACAGACTCCTATTCTTCTCCAGCCCACTCCCAAGTTTGTCCCCTAACTCATGAAATGCCCAGACTTCTACCTGATAGGATATTTTCGGCTTCTCTCCTCTGTACCTACAAATTTAAGTACATCAGAAGTCATCTTTCTGCGAGAATTAGAGAACGATGTATTGGGCCTTCTGTTTACATTTATACTTTATCTTTTCCTGCTTCTGTCTCTTGTGCAGTGTTCTGTGTAGGTTATCTCCCTACTCCTTCCCAGCTATTACATTTATAGTTTTTCTTGACCTAGCTTTCCTCTCCCACTCATCATCACTTTATCATTCCAGCCCTCTCCCTTCCATAGGCAAGCTACTTAGGGGGTAGGCTACCCACTTGTGGCTACTCATTTCTTAACTCTGTACTCAGGTTTTTGTCACCATTGCTCCACTGAAACTTTTTTTTTAACTAAGATAACCAGTGACCTGCTACTTTCCAGATCCACTGGACTCTTTCTAGTTTTCTTACATGAACTTGCCGTATCATTTTCCACTTAATCTTCCCTCTTTTTTCTATTAGAAGTTTTCTTTGAATATCATTATTTTAACCTTGTCTTTATTCTATGCTGTTATTACTTAATGTATTATTCTGCAATATTATTACTTAATATATTTGGTTGAATTAATGTCCTTTTTAACTGAAAAAGAAAACCTTGCATACATACAAATAAGAAAAATGAAAACAATTGTTAAATTCCAGCTAGTATTGAGGATCTGACCAGCATCCTGCCTTCTCTGTTGAAAGTGGAGACTAGTTAATGATGGAGCACTAAGCTAATTCTTTCTCCTGAAAATAATCAGAAGGCCAAAAAAACGAGGAACTTTCTTACTCTTGTTCACTTTTAACCTCTAAAGGATCTCTGGTACCTGTCATAGCCTAGAGATCCCTGGCCGTTTGCTCTGGTGCTGCATCAGTGTTTCTTTGTCTTGAGCCCAGGTTGCATTCTGACTACATGCTGTTTATAAGCTCCCCGCCAGCCCATCTCCTTGTTTCCGTCTGCTTTCTTTCAGAGATTTCATTTCTGTGACTGAATTCACTAGTGAGTCAGTTGTCCAGACCAGACTTCTTGTTATTTAAGACTACTCTCTGAGCCTGACTTCTTGTCAACATATATTGAGCTCCTGTGTATCTGACCCTGGGCCAGGTGTTCAAATCTTGTACATGGTTTTTTTTTGTGTGTTTTGTTTTTTTTTTAAAGTATATTTTTATTGATTTCAGAGAGAGGAAAGGAGAGGGAGAGAGAGAGAGATAGAAACATCAATGATGAGAGAGTCATTGATTGAGCCCGCAACCCGGGCATGTGCCCTGACTGGGAATCGAACCCGGATCGCCTGGACCCTAGGTCAACGCTCAACCGCTGAGCCACGCCCGGCCAGGCGGTTTTTTTTTAATCCTCACCTGAGGATATTTTTTCCATTGCTTTCCAGAGAGAGTGCAAGGGAGAGAGCAAGAGAAACACCAATGTGAGAAAGACACATCGACTGGTTGCCTCTCGCATACACCCCGGCAGGCTGGGGATTGAATCTGCAACCAAGGTATGTGCCCTTGGCCAGAATCAAACCTGGGACCCTTCAGTCCGCAGGCTGACGCCCTAACCACTGAGCCAAACTGGCTAGGGTGTGTACATGTTTTTTGAACTCCATACCCAATGCATCGTTTCTTCCTCTGTCCATGTGGCCTCTTGTTCATGTCTCTCCCACGGATATCCCCCACTGTGTTGTTTTTGACACTCTTCACTAGAGACTGAGCCACTCAGGGCAGGATGATGCTAAGTTCCTGCCATCAATGTATCCCAGTGCTTGGCCTCTGGGATCTTTTTATCTAATGAGGAATGAGTGGAGCTCATTGGGGAACTTGTCGTCATTTCATACAAATAAGTTTCAGAGCTAAAAGACACCTTAATTAATTCACAGTTAAATTAAAAGCAAGGCTGTCTCTTGGTCATTGTGTTGCTTTATCTATTGATTAGAGTTATACAGGCAATATTCTGAACATATTTTTATTGAAGGAGTTCCTGACTGCTTGGAAATGTGAAAATTCCTCTTCATTCCTCCCTGCCCCTTCTGCTTTCCCTCCCCACTGTTGTAAGTTTAGTGTGTATCTCTAGTTCATTTGGGGTGCATTGCATACTCACAAATGCAAATACGCATTTTTTCACCATAAGTGTGTTTATACTATGTTGCTTTTTTCACTTTACAAGACTTACATCAGTACCACTGAATATGCTTAATGCCTACATTAAACTATTAAAACATGCTACAATAAGGATGCTTGTACATATGTATTTCTCTGGAATACCCAGTCGTGTGCATTTTAAATCTTAATAGATATTGCTAAATTGCCTTCCAAAGGAACTTTACTAATTTATATTCTCACCAGCATTGTGTGAGGGTGTATTTTCCTTGTCTATACTGGATATTATCTGGCTTTATGTTTTTGCCAACCTGAAATTATGATATACATTGGAATGGAGTTATTTTTTGAGAATATTTAAATTTTTCTCAGATTCTGGTTTCAGTGGTGCTCTGATTATCTCTTGTTCAGAGTTTCTGTTTATTGGTGTAAATAAATGTTCAATCTCAAAGTTTCTAGTGTCAGATTCATATAGAATCTCTCTCCTTACACCACTAAATGTAAATATATACATCACGGTTGATCATGCCACGATAATGTAAGTTGTTTATGCCATAGTGCAGGGAAGATGCTGACGTGGAAAGTACCAGTCAGATGACTTCAGTTGATTTGGAGAAGACTGTAGGTGTCACTTAGGATTTTGGTTGCCAGCTTTTTTAGCTGGCTACCCAAATGTCCTTTGTCGATGACACTGCATTTTTTTCTTCTTGTCAGTTTTTCTTATTTATTATCAGAACTCAAGAAAATATATCGATTTTTAGAAAAGTCATACTTGGAAAC